GCTCCTTAGAGCCCACAAACATTTCCATTTTCATGTGAAAATGTCATCGTTTGCACAAACTTAGAAAGCATTTTAGTGTAGAAGCACTGAAAAAAAATCTATATATAGTTATTTATTAGCTACATAATCCCAATACCTACAATATTACTTATGTAAAGAACAATAAGCCAACACAGAGATTTTAGAAAGTGAATGCACCTATGACCAATTTTTGAATACAAACCATGGTAGTATCTATCATTTCCAAAAATTCATCTCAAGTTGGGTTTGATTTTAATGAATGAAACCACATATCTTGTTCTATTTGAGAAGTGAGCATAATGTCAGTGTTTCGCTAACCACTAGGGTATTTGACTTCCTTGAGGTGGTTCATATGTGAAAAAGCTTTCAAATGGAAAAACTTATTGGCCTTTGGTTTCTAAACCAGTTTGATTTTTCTCAGCTGAATGAGCTGTAAAAGGATATTGCATAGCATACTCGCTAATGATTTCCAATGGTGATTATAGCAGGCATTTAAGTTTTGGCCTCAAATATGATCTGCCAGTTTTCTGCACACCGCAGAAATATTATCACCAGAAAGTCAAAAATCCAATGACTTTTTCGAGCAGAGTGATCAAGAGCTGTTACATCTTACTGACAGTGAGGCGTGTGGAGGAGAAAAGAAAGAATAAGATGAAAGTGTAGAGTAAATTTCACGACTAATTTGCACCATTCCTTCAAAGAGAAAACAAACAAAACGTATTTTAAAAAAAGCTAAATTTAATTTCTCCTGAGTTATTTTTTGAGCGAAAAGAAAATGCTAAGCCAATGAAAGCACATGTGGCAATCATTGCCATTTCCAAATTTTGATTACAAACCCTGGCGGTCTCTTTCATTTGCAAAGATTAATAAAAGAGGAGAGAAGAAAACAAGAGCAGTACAATGATCTTGTAAGCATGCTAGCGTAGCGCACATGCTCCTTCCATTGAGAGATTTTCTCATGAATATGGCTATGGATGTGTGAATCTGAGTGGGTGAGCACTCGTGACTTTTCCTCAGCACGGGCCGCTTGGAAGCGCGGTGAAGGAAAGAAAGAACGAAAAAAGAAAAGCTACTCTGCAAACAATTTGGGGTTGGTACTACTTCTCCTGAATCTGTCTCTTATTAACTCACCCAAGCCACAATCGAGCGGGGGATTTTTCAACTTTTCTCTCTTTTCTTCTGTCATTCTTTTTTTCTCCCCTCTTTCTTTTCTTTTCTTGTCTTTTCTTTTCTTTTTTTTCTTTTGGATGTCACTGTAACCCCGAAAGGAAGTGAGAAGCAGCGCTCTCATCCCGCATGAGATTAATGGCCCTGCGAATGATATTCTGATTCCCTCCCATTAAAACGCCATGTCAGGAGTTTAGCAGCAGATTACAAATGTAAACTTTTTTTTACTGCTCTTCTGCTACTGCCACATGGGAACGTGACATCTGGCTTCTGCTTCAAAGCACAATCAACTCTGTACTATCCAGACGAACATCCTGAGTTTGGTACGATAAGGCAAATTTTAAAATAAGTGGTAAACAGAAAACTTTGTGAATCAAAAAATGCCACTCAATCCGCAGCCACAAACAAAACTACATGCTACATAATTTCACCAATTAAATTGCAGTCAAATCAAGACTTTGCATGGCTTATCACTGGCTTATCACTGGAGCCCTTTGCTATGCAAGCCAAACTGAACATGGTTTGTAACCAGTCAGCTAATTTTGCATTCTTACACAAAAAAATTCAGTTATATTTTAGCTGGTAGATATTTTACCACTGGTGTCTGTGCCTTACCACTTCTCTACAGCTCAGGATGCAACTTCCCTGAACACAAAGGTCCCTATTCACCCGTGTGCCCATACAACAAAGCTGATCTAGGGTCAGTTTTCTAGCTTTCGTTACAGGCTTTCATAGCTATGTGCTCTAATGCACTACTGATTCAGAAACAGCTACCTTAAAAAGGTCTTTAGCGATCTTTCAACATGAAAACCCCTACATTTTTGACCACCTATTGCAAGACACTTTTGTAGCCCTTGAGCAAGGTTCAGTTTAGCTCATTTTGTAACTATGTAAGCCTCAGAAGTCATTACACAATATTATTTCTCATTGACAGACATGGCGATAGCAAAAGCATGCTGCAGTTTAATATTAATTTTTCTTACTTGCAGCTCACTGAAAGTTCTGTAGAAAGTGCAAATTTGAAACTTTCAATCATAGTAAGTAAAAGAAGTGATATTTTCATATGATTTGAATGTGATGAAGCATTACTGGTGTTGCTTTGCAAAAAGAAAAACAATCTTTTATGTGTTTGTTGTTGTTGCCATAAAAACAAATAGAACACAATCAGAAAATCTTGCAGCTTTCAGTACAGACCGGATATCAAATGTATCTGTTATCAGAACAGTATCTGTAGTCAAGTCCTACACTCATAAAACTGGTTCTTCAAAGGTTTTCAGTAAAGACAGTGGTTCTGTATGGGAGCCATAAACACTCGAACCATTTGCTTGCATGAATATTTCACTGTATGGTCAAGTGGTTCTCTATGATGGAAAACCATTTGTTTATGGCTTTTAAAGAACTATTTTAAAAAATGCCTCTGTATTGCACCATAAATTGAGTCAAAGAACCCTTTTTGCTAAGAGTGTAGATAATCAACTAAATAATTACACAATTACTTTTAAGTATATCACAAAACAACATTAATAACTCAAACTTCAATGGTTACGCACAGTGCAAAACACTGCATGCTATTAATCCAACTTTTGGGTAGCACCGTCAAACGTTCAGGTCCTTTTTCGTTTCAGAAGCCTATGTATCACAACTGCTGCAACAACAAATGGTCCTTTCTTAGGAACAGTCTAGATGGCAATATGCAGCCTAGTGTGCACAAACACACCCTCAAGGCCCACTGACCACAAAAAGGCAAAGAGAGTACGCTCGCCATGGGGAGTAAGTGGAAGAGAAGTGGACTGGTTTTGTTTTATGGTTTCTGAGTTCCAGTAAAGGTTGGTCTAGGTGGTGCCACCCATGTGCTCAGCTGTAAGAAAGAGCTTGTTCCGATAATGCACAGGGCGTCAGGGGAGGCCATTACTACACAGCGCCATCAACATCACAAGCAAGACGCAAATGTACAACAATACAGATAAATACAAAAGGTTAGAGTTATGGTAGAGGGACAAAATCAAAGTGACTTCACTCCTTAAACTTCAATGGCCTGTATGTTCTTAAAAATAAAGCTTCCTCAGTGGTCACCATGAATGTATAGTTCAAGGAAAAACCTTTAATTAGCGCATAAACTTTACATTATGTTGGGGTTCTGCTTATTTATGAATATGGTTCTTTAAAGAACCACCTATTAAAAGGTTTTTGAAGTGGTTAAATGGAATCAAAGTCTTTTGGCACCTTTATTTTTGACAGTGTATGTGGATCCACCATTGAATTAATCAGTCTTATAAAGATATAATTTATGTAGTTATATGTAATTATATGTTCTTATGTTACACTAATTACAATGTAGTTACTGTTTTTTTTATAAGCCTGTAGTTTAATTAGGTAAACGCATTGCCTAGGTTTAGAAGGACTTCAGCACAACTGTCTGAATTACATTTGCAGAGGAACTGCTAATAAATGCTGTTTTAGTAGCAATTCATCACTCTTATAACTATATACATTGCATATAACCATAGTTCACATTTTAGTTTCATAAGTGTTACTATGTAGTTACCATATAATAAGTCTTAACATGAATAACTGAATATTATGCCTGCTGTTTAAGTGGTTAAAAGCTTTGCCAAGATTTAGATGGACGTCATCGCACCTGTCCGAATTACACTTGCAGAGGCACTGCTAATAACTGCTGTTTATGCAGCAACTATGTTACTTTGCATATGTGTATGTTACAAATTACTTTCATAGTTTCATATGAGTTACAATGCATTTACTAAATAATAATAAGTCTTAAGGTAAATAACTGAAAAATAAGCCAGGGGTTTATATGCCTAACTGTATAGTTTTTAAGTTACATATAACTTATGTTTCACATATTAGTTTCTATGTAGGTACTAAACAATCACTCATAAATAACTGAATAAGCCTGCAGTAGAAGTGGTTACATGCATTGGAAAGGTTTAGATGGACGTCACCGCAACTGTCTGAACTACACTTGCAGAGGCACTGCTAATAACTGCTGTTTAAGTAGCAACTCTTCATGCTTAGAACCGTTACTTTGCATATGTATTTTACGTTTCCTAGCTTCTTATGAGTTACAATGTAGTTATTGATTTAATCATATACCTTAAGATAAATAACATAATAATAAGCCAGCAGTTTACTTTGATAACTGTATGGCTTTTATGTTACATGTAACCATATATTTTATGTATTATTTTCCGTGCAGGTACTGAATAATGAGTCTTAAATAACTGAATAAGCCTGCAGTAAGCCTGCAGTTACATGCACTGGCAAGGTTTAGATGGATGTCACTGCAACTGTCTGAATGATATTTGCAGAGGCACTGCTAATAACTGTTCCTTTAGTAGCACATTTATAACCATATAACTTTTAAGCACTGTATAACTGTATATTTCATATACTAGTTTCACAGTAGTTACAGAATAATAAGTCTAAACATAAAAAACTCAATAAGCAGGCTGTTTACGTGGATAACTAAATAACTTATAATTAACATATACCTATGTATTTCATGTATTAGTTTCATAACAGTTACTGTGTAGTTATTGGACAATAAATCTCACGATAAACATCTGAAAAACCTGCCTGCAGTTTAAGTGGTTAAATGCATTGCCAAGGCTTAGATTGCCTGAATCACACTTGCAGAGGCACTTCAGCACATACACAGGTCCACCCAGTAACACTTGCAACGGCCGAAGCCACACATCATTTGTGAGCGTCGTTCGCCCTACAAACTGCTGTCACTGTCCCTGTTCTCCATCGAAAGCTTACAAGCAGCAGCAGAGCCAGGGATGACCTACCTCTGAGTAAACTGGAGGAGTAGCTAGTGAAGGAGTCAAAGATGCTGTTAGAAGCCATGTGTCACATCCAGGAGGGCTAAATCCTGCACTGCCGCTGCCCTCTCCTTACAGCTCAAGGAGCCACAGTCTGTTGAAGTGAACGGATGATGAGAAAGAAAGAGAAAAGTGGCTGTAAGAGCTGCTTGGAACACATAGGCTGCTTGCGACCAAGAATTTGGGGTTTTGTGAACGCCACAGGAATCTTTAGCCACAAGTCCGTTAACAGAACAGCATATGCGCAGAGGTGGATAGAAAGAAAAGAGAAAAGGAGAAAGAGTTAAGGAGAGAGAATAGAAAGAGAACAACCTAACCTCTCAAACTAAGGTTATTATTCAGGTACTATGTAATTACTATGAATTGTTCAGTTAAAAACTGTACAACTATTATATAAACTATATGTATGTAAGTAAGGGCCTATACTGAGTTGAAAGGGTTAAACAGAAGAGAAACAGAAGGACAGAGATGACAGCAGAAAATGACCATACCTGTTTCACTATGGGACTCGTCCTCTATCTCTCTCTCTCTGTTTCTTTTTCTCTCTCTCTGTCTCTCGCTCACTGGTGGTTTGTGCAATAACAGCGTGGTTATTGGAGTGGTCTGAGGGAGGCCGTTTTCGAGGTCCAGGTGCGTCTTGCCGCCTGTTGTCGTGGTGATCGCCGGGGCGACGGCCTGTCAGTCTCCCGTCTGAGGTCACAGCTCCCGCGACAATCCTGCCACTCTCCGGTGCTGCCCTCTGACTGGTGCAGTCCGAGTCACGTGACGCGTGAGGTAACAGGAGTGTTCCCTCCCTTCCACCATCACTCGATCTTCTCTTTCTCTTCTCTGCTTCTTTTCTCACCAGTTTTTGCTTCCTCTCTTTCCAGCTAATGCTTTTTTCCTCTTTTCGGTCAAGCCACGGCCTTTGGAGTTTCAGGGAAAAGAAGCTTCCAGAAGACTTGCTAAGGCAAGCACAAAGAAAGTAAATGCAAAAACAGAGCGAAGAGACACAAAGGGAGGAAAACGAAGAGCACAGAGAAGAAAAGAGCAGAAAGAGCTCTCGGCTGAGGAGTGAGAGTGTGTGTGAGCTGTGTGTGTGTGTGTGTGTGTGTTTGTGAGTGCTGGTGGTTTGGGGCCTGCTAAACCAACCCTCCACCCTCACTTACCACTTGATAGTATCATAATCTTAGCCTCATTAGAAGCAGCCATAGCAGTCTTCTCGTTCACTCTCTCCATCTTACTCATTCTCACTCTCTTTGACTTTGGCCTTTTCCTTTCTTGATGTTTTTGTAAAAATTTTGTAAAAAAAAAATTATTATGTAGATGTAATATAATGTGTAACTTCAATGAGAGACAAATTATAAAAAAAACAAAAAAAAACGAAAGAAAGCACTAACACAAATGCTCTAAAAGAAGGTCCGGCTCGATGCTTAGGTCTCGAATGTAAAATTAACATTATACTGATGAAGCTGTGATGACAATAGTAGATAATTCACTTACTTCCTTGGAAGGCATGTCCTTTACCAAGCTTTGACTGAGTTCTCTTTGAATTCTCTTTCAGCACGCTCCCAATCATTAGATTCATCGGCTCAGGAAAGGCGTCCGAAGTTATATGCTGTTATATGCTGTTCAGCATGTTATGTGCAACTATTTCCACCAGAGAGGTCATCAAATCCTCGAAACGTGTGGTGTAGCTTTGTAAATGAGGTTGTGAGTGTAAAGAACCTTTCTAAAGTTTAAAGAACCTCCACATAATGCAGGGGTGAACTGTGACTATTGGAGCTCAAAATGGGAAAAAAAAACAACCACCTCAATGACAATGCTAATTTCTGTCAATTCTAGTTAGCACTACAAACAAGAGCATATCGCTGTTGTCAGAACAAAACCTCGTATCTCCAAAATTATAACTTTACAGGAGAAGGAAAAACATACTTTTTTTACTTCTAATGTAAGTCAATGGAACCAGACTTTTTTTCAAGAAATGTTGGGTTATTTCTTTTTGTTTAATCATCATGAAATTTACATGCAATGTAAAGGGCAACAGGCATTTTCAAATTATCGCAAAAACTGAAAAACAACAAAACTGGAGACACAAGGTTTTGCTCTGACAGCAGCGACATCTTGGTTGTTGAACGTTAAACGCAAACAACTGACCAACCATACTATATTTAAAGCTTGCAATGGTTATTAGCATGTTGACTAAAATTGACTTCTTCAGTAGAGATGCCACTGTTTTGTATTTCCACATCTAGCTGAAACCTGGTCAGGCTAACCCTCATATTCTTAGTCTGTGAAGTTTCTGGGACTCCCAGAAGGTCCAGAGTGGTGTTTTTTTCTCTCTAAATTGGTCTCACTCATTAAAAATCAAAATCCTGATTGAGCCATTTTCCATCGGGCACCAAAACTTTCACAACCAAAGCTTGACAATGAAATAAGAGTACTATGATAATACCTGAAGGATAATCTTTTTAAATAAAAAAATAGCTAAAAAGCTGAAAATTACACGTTTTTGCTTCACCGAAGTCGACAGGCCTAGAAGGCCCTCTGACATAATGTAAAGAGCATCGAACCACACATGCAGGCCAAGAGTACTTCAGTGCAACAGTTATGCAACCCGACTTCTTCTTTTTCATCTTTCATGTGTCCGTATGGTCAGTTATTTTCTCTCAGACTGTCCTCATGTCTGACCGCCGGACACTAGACCTGGCCCGCTGCTGTCTGGCCAATCAGCTGACTCAGAGTGTGTGTGTGGTTTGCAAACAGTGAGGTGGTCATCTCGGAATGTGTATTCTACTGTCGTAAGTGTGTTTGTGTTTGTTTAATGTTGGACATGCCGCTTAGCACCCTCACTGCCCTGCTAACGAGCAGTTGTGTGTTGGTCAGGAGGCAGCACAGGGAAAATGACATGGTCCCAAAAATGCCCTTCATACGTGTGTGTGAGTGTGTGTGTGTGTTGGTATGGAAATGACACACTCCCAGTGAATGTGGCCGATGGCCGAGGCCACAGGATGGCTTTAAGGCTTATCAGCAGTGTCCTGGCCTAACCTCACTCATACCTCTCTTCACAAGTCACCAATCTCACCTTCTCTTGCTCTTTATAACTACATGGTCAACCATGATTCCACAACATCCACACTTACACTGCTAACCAGGGTACAGCTACAACACTGCTCACCATCATGACCGAAAGCCAGTTGGGCTCCTCAGTCTGATGTCCTTTGTTTGTTGATTTTCTTAGTGAAAAGAAGTGTATGTCCTCTACAGTGCAAAGTTTTTATAGACAGTTACCGTTTATTTGCTGAATTTTGCATAGTTTTATATAGTAACTCACAACGTGTAGGCATGGACTACAAATGTGGACAGTCTGAGGACCGGTTTGAGAACCACTGGTAAAACAAATACGCTTGTTCTCTCTTTGGGTGAGGGAGTGGGGTTAGGGTCACTTACTGGTGGGCCAAATTAAACATCCATGGGCCACACTTTCAGCAGCCCTGAAATAGATGTATTAGGGAACAGTGTGCTTATATGATACAGCACTGGAAAGCAGGGGTGTCCGAAATGACTTTTTGAGAATGTCGTACTTTCACAACTGACTAGCTGCATGTTTCTATTAAAAGAAGTTTATACCCTTCAAAGTTCGCAATACCCACCATAACTGTATACTATTTAAATGGGATTAGTTTTACATGGGGATGGGTGGGTAGTCTAATTATTATGGTGTCTCTCAGTGATTTTAGTCCTGCAAGAATCCACAGTGTCAGTCACTTTCACAGACTGCACACACCCATGTGATTTTGGCTGTTTTTACCTACTATTAAACAAAGGATAGAAATAACCTCCGGTTATATTAAGCCTTACTCAAACTGAAATAGTTTTACCTTGGGAGGTGGTGTAATTTGAGTGATTGCTGTGATTTTAATCCTGTATGAAGCCTGTGTAACTCGTTAATAAACATAGGCATCCTGCAGTAAAATCATATACCCAACCCCCCCATGTAAAACTAATACCATCTGAATAGAACTTGTTGTCTGTAGATCACAAATTCAAAACCTCACTATGTTAGGAGTCCAGTGGTTCTAAAATTAATAAAGAACAACAATACTGAATGAGCTCAACATTGTGTCTGTTTACAGGGATAGTCTTGCATGCTTAAACAAAAAGAAACCAGTCGGCTTGTTGGTAAAGCCAGAAGACCCCACCCTCCACCCCCATACCCCCAGAGATACGGGCACGTAGCCAGAACAACCCAAAAAATACCAACGATTTTAAATATGTTTTTGAAATTTTAGCCTGGCTTTCAGTTTCAAGTTTTTAAGTATCTCTCCATTCAAAGGGACAGGAGCCTCGTCTGAACAGAAATGACTGCCTTCCTTCATAATGTCTCTGATTCTGTTCAGATAGCAAACTTTGCTAGCTAAGATCTCTAAAGAACTTTACATTTTAGTTTAGCAAGGCAAGAGGAAAAAATATTAGCAGCCATGATTGTACTGTGGCTCTGTGGATGCATTTTGACACACATGGCATATTGTTGAAATGTCTTAAAGTATCATGATATTATAGCTTTTGCTACATTGCTTAGCCCTAGAATATAGTAGAATATATGTAAGACAGCATAGAGAACTACAAACCTTTAAGAGCATAAAGAATAAGAAGTCTTTTGTCATCTCAATGTGAAAACATGATAAAATCTGATAAAAGTGATCTGGTAAAGTAAACTGGGCCCAGGATTGGACGAATTCTGCAGTAATTTGAGAGTATCTTTGGGACCACCATTTTCAGATGATAGTAAGAAACCACATCATCTGTGTCAGCACAATCTCATGATTGAAACCTCATGCAAATGCATCCAAACAACTTCACATGAATTGTTGTGGTTAAGGTTAGCGCTGTGATCTTGCTCATGAGACCTTGATTATGATTTTTCCATTTTCCTCTTTTTCATATAACTTTGTTCAAGGTCTTTATAACACCAGGTTGTACACATCTCTGGGCGTATCTGAGCTTATGAAGCCCATGTGAAGATGGGGGCCATTCGGATTTTTCCTCCCCACAGGGACAAACACCATCTGCTCCGTGTTTTGGAAGGTCATTTCTTAGCAGCGGCATTCACTAACCGCAATCGAAAACGGTCAAAGGCAACACTGGAGTTAGGGAAGAGATTTTTTTCATCTCCCTTGTTTATCAAGCCCCTGTATTTAAGCTTAATATAACTGCAGTGTTTTTGCTGAGAAAACCTGCGGTGGGCCCCCGGGCTGCCAATGACCCTCCGCCCCACGGGTGGGGCTGCGACGGGCGGCGGCTAGCGCATGCGGTCACTAGCACAGCTGCGTAGGGGCTTATTTTGTGGCATAAAAATTGCAGGCTTCCCCATGTGTAGCTCATAAAGAAGGGAATGCAGAGAAGGACTGGAGGAGGAAAGCTGGGGACACAGTGGCCGTCCTCGTTTGACACTTTTTGGCCTGGAAAAACATACGACCCCTCTTGGCTAAATCAGTGTTACTGATGCTAATGCAGAAGGTAGGAGGAAGTGAGCTGGCCCCTCTAACTGCCAAAATGTATAACTTTTTGTGTCGCCACCTTCATACAACATTGACATAACCTCATGTGCACTTCCAGTCATGATTTTCTTTAACATCCGATTGTATGTGTAGCTCAATGCTAACAGATTAGCAAGGCCTTTACTCTTCACTGACAGTTTTTGGCCTGGAAAAGTGTATGAACCTGGTGGTTTTAACTAGTGCTAGCAATGCTAATGGAGAAATAATCTCATAAACTTAACTTATAAACTTATGTAGCACTGTGCAAAAGTCAGAAACCACCCTCTCGTTATTTAATTTCCAATCAAAATGGGCATTAAGTACAAGTTATTTCACTTTTTGGAAGACGTTTTGAAGAGATAATCCACTTGCATATAGAAGAGGAAAGTCAGATGAAAATAAGTAGAAAAAAGGGAGTTTTGAAACTGGAGTTCAAAAATTATCAAAAGATGTATGCAAAACAGGACTGCCAACAACCACCTGCAAGGCCTGGTAGACCACCAAACTGTCTCCATCAGATAAACATCACTTAAAGCTTTCATTTT